GAAGGTGAATTTTCTTATATTTCTTCGGCATCTGTGTTTAGCTAGTATAAATCTATGACCTCTTGTTCTTGAAGTTCCAGGTCTCAGGAAATCTTCCCTGTCGATTTTATCAATTCCTGTTACTATTTTGTACGTAGTGATCATATCACCTCTTTTTCTTCTGTCTTCTAGTTTTGGCATATTGAATGCTTCTAACCTCTCCTCGTAGCTCTTGCCCTTCAGTTCTGGGAGCCACTTAGTAGCATGTCTTTGCGCCTTTTCCAGTTTGTTGATGTGCTTCTTAAGATGTGGGCACCACACAACAGCTGCATATTCTAGCTTTCGCCTAACAAAAGTCATGAACAATTTCTTTAGTATATCGCCATCCATGTATTTAAAAGCAATTCTGAAGTTAGAAAGCATAGCATAGGCTCCTTACACAATATTCTTTATGTGGTCCTCAGGTAATAGTTTTCTATCTAGAACCACCCCTAGATCTCTTTCTTTATCAGAATTCTTTAAAGATTTCTCACATAATATATAGGTTGTATGGGGTCTATGGTCTCCTATTCCACATTCCATAACATGACATTTATTAACATTAAATTCCATTTGCCAAGTGGTGCTCCATATACTTATTTTGTCCAGGTCTTCTTGAAGGGCATAACAATCATCTAAATTTCTTATCCTTCCTATTATCTTAGCATCATCAGCAAACATGTTCATATAATTCTGTATACCAACTGGTAGATCATTTATGTACACAATAAACATCACTGGTGCAAGAACTGAACCCTGTGGTACTCCACTTGTGACATTTCTCCATTCCGATACATTGCCTCTGATTACTGCCCTCATTTTTCTATCAGTCAGAAAATTTTTCATCCATGTTAGAAGCTTACCTGTCACATTTTCCAGTTTCCAGAACAATCTCTTATGGGGAACTCTGTCGAAAGCCTTTTTTTAGATCCAGATAGATGCAGTCAACCCAACCATCTCTTTCCTGTAATATCTCTGTGGCTCGATCATAGAAACTGAGTAAATTTGATACACAGGATCTTCCAGATCGAAAACCATACTGTCTGTCTGATATTATATCATTTCTCTCCAGGTGTTCTACCCATTTAGTTTTGATTACTTTTTCCATTACTTTCACTATTACACTTGTCAATGATACAGGTCTATAATTGAGGGGGTCTTCCCTGCTGCCACTTTTGTAGATTGGAACTATGTTAGCCTGTTTCCACACGTCTGCTACGATTCCTGTGTAGAATATAGCATGTTTGTGTGTCCCAGGGGTCAGCAGGTAACCAGTCATGTTTGAGCTGTCCATTCTAGAGTATTTCTGAGCATGCGTTCCATGTCATTCTATTCATTGTCCTCATATTTATTAACTAGTAAGAACCTTGTGCTGTTAGAATGTTATTTACAATTAGAGTTGAGAATGTAAAGTAACGTAATGACCACGTCTGAATGTTAGTGGGACCAGTATTCAAAGTAACTACAATATTAATAAGTAATACATATTCTGTGAAAATATTACTTTACAAGATAACTATTGAAATTAAATGAACTATTGAAGTAATTTTAAGATCTAGAAATGAAACCCTTTGTAAAGAGGGAAGTTATTATTTTCCCAGGGTTGTATATTTCAACCTTGTTTTGCCCCCCCAAGAGTAAGAAGTGTTCCTGTTCAAGGTAAGGATGTTTGATGTTTGACTAAGGATTATTATGGAGCAGGCTCTAGTTGCCTTTGTATTTCATGCAATAAAGGCTGTGTTTTGATAGTTTATAAACTAAGGATCGGTTCAGAAGCTTATACCCCTTTACAGGGGAGAGCGTGTTACTACTATGCTACCATAGGATCTGTCAGTGCTGCACTCTGGGAAGAAACTCAAGAGTGCATGCAGCCCAAAACTCAGCAAAGTCAAGCCCAAGAAATAAGCTGAATAGAAAACATGAAGCAAATAATAAAATATACAGAGCACCACTTGGTTTCCGAACCCCTTGGGGACGAGACCCGTCGGTTAACATGTAAGTTCGTATACGAGAAATAGAGGGGAAAAAATAAACTAGAAATGTAAAAAGAAATTTTTCCGAAAAATTTATGAAAAAAACTCTAGGGAAAAAAATCGTCAGGTTCATGGCGTAAATGCAACCGTGTTTTGTTTGTACTCATCAATAAGTGAAGTCCTGATCCGCTTTATAAAAGTCCTTAATTGTTCCTAACTGATTATTAAGACGTCTGGCAAACATCCTCTGGATGTTTCCTGCCAGCCTGCAGGAACATCCTGCCTAAAATATACGATGATGTACTGTACATTTAAGAAACAAATCTGGGTCACAGGTCTGTGGAGTGTGGTTAGGCTTACGGAGTCAGCCGGTCCCTCCCCCACCACCGACACACCTCCCCATCTCCCCCCCCCCCACCGACACACCTCCCCCTCTCCCCCCACCACCGACACACCTCCCCCTCTCCCCCCACCACCGACACACCTCCCCCTCTCCCCCCACCACCGACACACCACCCCCACCCCCCACCCCAAACCCATACACACACACACACACACACACTCTCTCAAAGGTCACGTGGTTCACGGTTCACTTCAACACCCATATATCGCTTCCTGCCTGCCTGCCTGCCTGCCTGCCTGCCTGCCTGCCTGCCTGCCTCCTTCCCAGCCTGCCTGCTTCCCAGCCTGCCTCATTCCCAGCCTGCCAGCCTGCTTCCTTCCCAGCCTGCCTCCTTCCCAGCCTGCCAGCCTGCTTCCTTCCCAGCCTGCCTCCTTCCCTGCCTGCCAGCCTGCCTCCTTCCCAGCCTGCCTCCTTCCCTGCCTGCCAGCCTGCCTCCTTCCCAGCCTGCCTCCTTCCCTGCCTGCCAGCCTGCCTGCCTGCCTCCTTCCCAGCCTGCCTCCTTCCCAGCCTGCCAGCCTGCCTCCTTCCCAGCCTGCTTCCTTTCTAGCCAGCCTGCCTCCCTCCCTGCCATCATGCTAACGGGTAGTGTGTGTTAGGCTTATCTTCGGGAATGAGCCGGTCTCACCCCCACCACCAACAAACCACCCGCCCCCTACATCCCATCTCTCACGGTCACGCGGTTCAACCGCGTGACCGCGTGACTACCACTCACTCCCTGCCTGCAAGCTAGCCTGCCTGCCTGCCTGCCTGCCTGTGCCTGCCTGCCTGTGCCTGCCAGCCTGCCTTTCTTTCCCTAATTCTCACTACTACTTCCATCCCTTCCTGCCTACCTCCTAGCATCTCTCCCTACCTCCCCCTCCCTCTTAGCATCTCTCCCTACCTCCTAACATCTCTCCCTACCTCCCCCTCCCTCCTAGCATCTCTCTCCCCCCCTCTCTCACTGATTCTCCCCCCCCCCTCATTCATACTGCCTCCCACCTAAACTCCATCGTCCATCCACCCACCAGTCAGCCATCACTGACGCAATGCGTGCATTTGGAGCCAACATGGTGCACAGATGTTTCTTGATTGTGCAGATATGTAAAACAAAAGCACAGAATGAACATTCCAGCCTTATGGCAATTCAAAATAATCGGAATAATAGGCCGTGAATCTGTGAAGTCACAGTGGGCAAACTGGACCATCGCCCACCCACCACCACAAGCCGGCGTGACGCTTGGCGGACCCCTTCCTACCCGAACTTTGTTCGGGTAGCATGACTCCCCAACCCCAATCGGGAAACTGGAAGTTTCGGATAACTAAAGTTCGGAAACCAAGTGGTGCTCTGTAGCTAGGTACAAAGAACACAAGAACATAAGAATGAAGGTAACTGCAGAAGGTCTATTGGCCCATACGAGGCAGCTCCTATTTATATCCACCCAATCTGATTCATATATATGTCTAACCTACACTTGAAACAATCAAGGGATCCTACTTCTATTTTGTTACACAATAATTGATTCCACAAATCAACAACCCCTGTTACCGAACCAGTATTTACCCAGGTTAGCAAGAGTAAAGAAAATGTCTTCCACACAGGAATATACCCGAGGGCCACAGACACTAGCCTCAATGAGGACAGGAAGCTGGCGGCTTGTTGAAGGTCCCACCTCCCCCCCCCCCTCCATTTGCCTAGATAATCTTTTCCAGGTTGGGAAATAAGTCCCAGGGCCAATAACTCCAAGGACGGCCTACCCTTCGCTTGAAGTAGTGGGGTCATGCCATGCCTGAAAGACCCCGAGCAATAGTGTCCAGTAGAACATCAGCAAAAGAACTGGCAAGGAAGATGACTGTACAGAGGCAGGACTGCCTGGTAGTGGCATTTGGTACTAGCTAATGTTGAAGTTTCCCTTGTTTTGTGCGATTCATTTGCAGAGTTGTTTGGTATTTGAAAATTCATTATTCCTACAGTTGTCTGTAAAGCTTCATTGACTTTCTGGATGCTATCCTGATGTAGTGGTGAATTGTCACTTGCCTCTTTCTGTCTGTGCCTCTGTCACTTTGATACACCTGGCACACACCAGGTGTGTCACTCTCCTCTTTCTATCTGCACCTCTACGAGGAGAGCCACGTTTTGGCTGTTTCCTAGTAAGCCAAACTGAAGTCCTACGTCTGATGCGACTTTTGCATGGAACATTCTCAACGAGATAGTTTCAGAGAGCCACCGAGGACTAACCCAGAAGAGAAATACGCAAGATGCTGACAATTGACCAATATTTTCCAAGTTTGATTTGTGCGGACAGGTTAGGTTAATGGTATCAAGAACAGTTGTGGTATTATGCGTTTAATACACAATATTCAACCTGAAACCATAATTTGCCCAATTTATAATCTTCCTAGGGGTATCCCCATCACTGACTAACTATTGAGACTATCAATGTTATTAGTGCATGTAGAGTGTGTTTAGTGAAACTAAATATTCCATACACAAAATAGTATAGTAGTTTTCCAAATGGCATGAAAATAAACATTTGTTTATAACTGGTCATACATGGAAGGCCGAGTAATAACAGTTTATGGCCCTTTAATGTGTTACTCGGCAAGAGAGCTGTGCATACATGCTTTACCTGGGTTCAGCGAGGATGTAATAGCAGATCTCATGCTGGAGGGCTTCCACCATGTAGCAGGAGTGACGGAGACGCTGTAGGAGCACCGCCTGGGCTGCTCTGCGGGCTTCCCAGGTGCCTGGCCCTCGATACACACGCACCATACCCATCTTCACCTAATGCACCACTAATACTATGGAGCCAATACACTGGTCTGGAATGAAAAATGCTTGAATAGAACTTGCAAGGTTCTAATACACATTAAATTGCTTAAAAACTAGAATAAAGCTACTGGTAATTTTAGATTACATTATTAGTTTCTGGATGAAATAAATGTACAGCAAATAATAATGGAATACCATTATTGGGGATAAATATTCTAGGGTTTATCACTGAGCAGCCAAAGGTGAGGCTGTCCAAGCCACCCTAGTACAGTACGTGATCTAAACACAACATCCGCTCCACCCACACCATTGCCAAACTTACTTTCCCTGGATAGACAGACTTCTTGGGCCAGAATAAAATTTGTAGACAAACTTGCCCTTATCTAACTTTCAAAGTGCTTGCATAGTATTTGAATGTCCTTCACCAGGTATATTAGACAAGAGAATTACCACAGCACATGAACAAGATTCAAGAGGAGAGAGAGACAATATTTAGATGAACTTTACACCCAACACTGGGGTACTCACCACACCTACATAGGTCTAATATAATAATTATAATAATTGTAAATTACATACTGTATATAATAACCAAAACACCCAACACTGGGGTACTCACCACACCTACATAGGTCTAATATAATAATTATAATAATTGTAAATTACATACTGTATATAATAACCAAAACACTAAACGCTAACAGCTTCAGATAACCATCTTAACAGTGTACAGCCACTATCAACAGCAATAGTAGCAACAGATCTGGTCTAATATACCTACTGCAAAATTCCATCAATTACATTAGACAATGGAACCAAATAATTATAAAAAAATCAATGTTTAATCAGCATCATCTTCAACAATCATGTTAACAAAACAGCTGATGTGATGTCAGGTGGACAAGAGGGTATAACGTTAGGACCAAGAAGAAATAATGTTAGGACCAACTAACCCATGGACATCATAACCATGTCATGGTACAGTCGACTAGAGCACGTCTGGGAATACTCTGGGTGCATAGGTTCCAACCCTCAAGGCTCCTTTGCATCTTTGTTCTTGTTCCATAACTTATTATTCCATGATGAAGTCCTACATACTGTACTGTACAAGCTGGGCCATCTGCATCTCGGATATGAAACCCTAGTTTAAAATATTTACACCCTAAAAAGACCAATTATCATCCTTGTTGCACCAGTTTCGGCACAGGTCTTACTGAAGGCAACTCGACATCAAGCACTTGTACTGCAAAGCAAGAACCAGACTTCACCACAGTAGGCAGGCACCTCACAAAGTCCACACACACACAGACACATGCCAAGCAATTCTTAGTCCAAGTGACTCAACAATAAACACTAAACACTAATTACAACTACCATTTTCCCCAATCACAGTAATTATCTTATGTCATGCTGTCTTCACAAGGTGGATAAAATATAAATCATTGCCATTACTGAGGTAGAACACTGCCAAAGAAAACTGGAGCTTACTGTAATGAGCAGCAGAAAAGCAATAGTAAAATCCTCAATATATATAACATTATTAATTGTAACTAGCTTCAAAAGATTGTTACTGGCTTAGCTACATGAACTATGGGTTCAGTTCCTGAACCAATTATGTGCCTCTGTAACCCTTTCCACCACTGCCCCACAGGATGGTTATAGGGTGCATAATAAAGAAAAATTTAAATTGAATCTAGTACAATCCTCGTTTCTTGCTACAGCATTACATTGACAACATTCCTGATTTTTTAATTTTTACGCCATTATGCAGGCTAACTTACCAAGTACACCAACCATTTTGCAAATAACATGTCATACAAGACAGGAAGCCTGTACTCAAGCTCAAGGCCCTAGCCCTAAGCCAACTACCAATCTTGCCCTGGATACAACCTAGAACAATTGCCTAACTTCTGGGAACCTGTTGTAATACTAGATGAGCAGTGCATCAGGTGAAAGGAAATTTGTACAACTTTGGCCTTCACTGGGATTGAACCCAGGTCTTTTGATTGAAACTCAAGGACATAGACCACTGTCATACAGAACTACCAAATAGAAATTTCCTAAAGTGAACTTAAAATTCCATACACTCGTCTGTAAAAAGCTGTTAAAATCACCAAAATCAAGAAGTCCATAATGCAGTTATTGCTCACATTCAAAAGTCACCAGATGCAAGTCTTCAGTATTTTAAAACCCAGCTAATGACAAGAGAATACTCTTTAGTAACTCTCAAGTCCTGCCTCAACCATTGCCTTGCTTGGCAACTTCAACTTACAACACTTACGATGGAAAAATGCTGTAAATATAGTCGAGAGAGAATCCCAGGCAGCAGTCTAAATGAACAAACCCTTTTCATTAGTGACATCTTAAATATATACAGTATAAAGTGGAACTTCGATTAACGAATTTAATCTGTTCCGGCACCGAGCTCGTCATATGAGATGCTCGTCTTTCAAAACTAATTTCCTCATTTAAAATATTGGAAATAAAAATCTGTTCCACCACCGAAAAACATCAATATATTTGATTTTTTAAATAATGGAGCAGCCTACCCGACATATACTGAACAAACCTTTATCACATTTGTTCTTTTTTCAACTTTGTTCACTTTCTATTTTTTCATTTTTGTTTTATAGCAAACGGTTCGTTCAGTTTTTGTCAGGTAGGCTCCTCCACGTTTCTTAAAAATAAAAAATAAAAAATTGAAAAACAAAAAAATGTCAAAAGTTTGTCCAGTGTTTGTCAGGTAGGATGCTCCATTATGACAATCTTTCTTTGTTTCAAATGTGTTCAATTTGTTTTGTATTTTTCAATTATTTATTAATAATGGAGCAGCCTACCTGACAAACATTGAATGAATCTTTTTGACATTTGTTCTTTTTTTTATTTTTTTTATTTTTTTATTCTATAAAAAAAATCAATGCTTTGCAACATCACAGCAGTCACCCCTTTACATCCCAGCATCTTTAAAACAAAAAATACTTTATTTGCATCATCGGAGGAGTCAGAGAATGAGAGAGAAGCAGCGGGAACGCATCCATGTGGTTTCCTCATTAACCAAACAAGCGTTCGCCAATTTAGACAAATTGTCGCCGATCGTCGCACTCGTTACTCAAAATTCTCGTAATTTGAAGCGCTCGTCACTCAAGGTTCCACTTTATCTAGGGCGTTTTCTTTAGTTGGTTCTGAATTTACCTTAGGGCTACTAACCCTAGTGGCCTTGATGAGGACAGGAAGCCAGCAGCTTGTCAATGAGCCCCCAAAATCATGAGGGTAAAGGGGTGGGGGGAACCTTTGACAAGCCACTGGTTTCCTCTCCTTGTCGAGCCCACTAGTGTTAGTGGCCCTCAAGTAAATTCATAACCAACTTAAGCAGAAAACACCCTAGATACACAGTATTTAAATCACATACCCCTAATGAAAAATTGAAAATGCAAATTAGAATGAGAATGGCATGCTCTCTATAGGGGAGGAAAATTAAATTAATTACTCTAGTGCCCCACTCTATAAGCAAAGAGTGCCCCCACTGAACACCCTGAACATTTCTCTACACAGGCTGTGTAGAGAAATAGAAGCAATTTAATTTAAGCTACGAGAACCATAAAATCCTAGAGGAACAAAAGGCCATCAATACAACCCAAAACACCACTACTACTACTATGCAACAAACGCTTTATCTAGTATTGGGCCCTTACACAATGAAGATGGAATTTTTACAGATGACAGCAATGAGTGAAATACTGAAGATAAAGTACAGTACAACTAATTTTCAGTGAACCACTGAACATACTGAAGAAAAGATAATCAAAACTAATTCATATAATAATAATAATAATAATAATAATAATAATAATAATAATAATAATAATAATAATAATAATAATAATAATAATAATAATTTTTATTTAGGTAAGGTACATACATAAAGAGATTTTACAAAGTTTGTTGGCTTTATAGATAGAGCTAGTACATACAATGCCTAAAGCCACTATTACGCAAAGCGTTTCGGGCAGTATATCATGTATGTGATACAACTTCAATTCATATCGGATGTTACCTTAACCCCCCCCAGTGAATTTTTCAAGTGGTCAGAGATCACATGCTCATATTCCTAGGACTAGATTGCATAATTATTGCAAAATGCCATCATTGAATGTAATGAAATGCCTCTTTCTGGAGGGACCCCAGTGGCTCCCTGAAGCTATCTTGCCAATATTGCTATATAAATGGGTCAACAGTTGTTTAGGTACTGTTTGGCCTACCAGGAACCTGGTGCCCCTAACAGAAGTGCAGGGAGTGGCACCAGGGACCACAGCCAGGAACCTGGTGCCCCTCACAGAAGTGCAGGGAGTGGCACCAGGGACCACAGCCAGGAACCTGGTGCCCCTCACAGAAGTGCAGGGAGTGGCACCAGGGACCACAGCCAGGAACCTGGTGCCCCTCACAGAAGTGCAGGGAGTGGCACCAGGGACCACAGCCAGGAACCTGGTGCCCCTCACAGAAGTGCAGGGAGTGGCACCAGGGACCACAGCCAGGAACCTGGTACCTCTCACAGAAGTGCAGGGAGTGGCACCAGGGACCACAGCCAGGAACCTGGTACCTCTCACAGAAGTGCAGGGAGTGGCACCAGGGACCACAGCCAGGAACCTGGTACCTCTCACAGAAGTGCAGGGAGTGGCACCAGGGACCACAGCCAGGAACCTGGTACCTCTCACAGAAGTGCAGGGAGTGGCACCAGGGACCACAGCCAGGAACCTGGTACCTCTCACAGAAGTGCAGGGAGTGGCACCAGGGACCACAGCCAGGAACCTGGTGCCCCTCACAGAGGTGCAAGGAGTGGCACCAGGGACCACAGCCAGGAACCAGGTGCCCCTCACAGAAGTGCAGGGAGTGGGCGAATCCACATCAGAAGCAGCCTCCAGAAAGTCAATGAAGTTCGACAGCGGGAGGGTTACACAATGTTGGACTCGGTCGTTATCTATGATGCATTTAAACAGTGGAGATCATGCAACTCCATAAAGGAGGAAGGAAATCAAACCAAGTAGTATATGCA